TTTTCCTTCCTCTAGCTTAAAACCATTATTCCATGTCCTAGAGTAGGGGTCTTCAAACTTGGCCCTTTTTTGACTTGTGGACTTCAACTCTCAGAATTCTTCAGCCAGGCATGCTGGCTGAGGAATTCTGGGAGTTGAAGTCCACAAGTCATAAAAGGCCAAATTTGAAGGCCCCTGTCCTAGAGTTTGAGACAACAGAGAGCACCTTTGATCTTCTGAGTGATATCCTCCAGAAGACCACTATTGTATCCTCCTCTGTCTTTTATTCTCAAAAATAATCATACCTTCATTGGCTCCTTATAAATTTGCAGTGTCCTGCCCATCCTCGGTGTCAGTTTTACCTGTTCCAGTTTCTCAGAATTTATTTTTAAAAATATGGTTCCTAGACTTAATGTTTGTGATGCCACCCAACCAACCATCACTTTTTATAACGTGGAGACTATTCTTCTGCATTAGAAGAGGGATAGAATCAAGATCACGTGGAGTATTAATACCATTCTACAATGCCTTGGTAAGGCCACACTTGGAATACTGCATCCAGTTTTGGTCACCACGATGTAAAAAAGATGTTGAGACTCTAGAAAGAGTACAGAGAAGAGCAACAAAGATGATTAGGGGACTGGAGGCTAAAACATATAAGGAACGGTTGCTAGAATTGGGTATGTCTAGTTTAACGAAGAGAAGGACAAGGGGGGACATGATAGCAGTATTCCAATATCTCAGGGGCTGCCATAAAGAAAAGGGAATCAAGCTATTTTCCAAAGCGCCTGAGGGCAGGACAAGAAGCAACGGGTGGAAACTAATCAAGGAGAGAAGCAACCTAGAACTACGGAGAAACTTCCTGACAGTGAGAACAATTAAACAGTGGAACAGCCTGCCTCCAGAAGCCGTAAATGCTCCAACACTGGAAGTTGTTAAGAAGAGACTGGACAGCCATTTGTCCGAAATGGTGTAGGGTTTCCTGCCTGAGCAGGGGGTTGGACTAGATGACCTCCAAGGTCCCTTCCAACTTTACTACTACTACTATTATTTACTTCTGTAAATGCAACTTAAAATTGCAACTTTTAGCAACTATTTTTTAGCAGCTGCTAATAACACTCTCTCAACTCATATTTATTTTTAATGAACTACAAGTCCAAGAAGCTTTTCTCACATACTGTTATCTAAGTCAGGTGTTCCAAAGTCTTCTACTTTGCATTTGATTCTTCATCTCTACGAAAAGAATTTACCTCCATTAAATTACACTCCACTTTTCTAAATTTTGAATTTGCTTTGCGTTTTTGACTGTATTAACTATCTTATCTAATCTCTATATCTCTTCATTGAAACATTAATGAAAATGTTAAAGAGTATAGGCTCATTACCAAAGTCTGTAGCACCTTATTTGTTACATCACTTCAATTTATAAGGAACTACTGATGAGCATTCTTTATGTGTTTCCAAGTCAGAAATGTCATAAGATAACTTATTAAATGTTTTGCTGAACTCAAGTTATATTATGTCCATAGTCTTTACAAGATAGTAAGAAAGTTATTAAAAATACTGACAAGACATTTTATAAATCCATGCTAACTTGATAATCACTTTATTCTTTTTAAAAATGCTTATGAATGATTATTTGTATCTATGCTTGATTATTGTCAATAAAGAGAGTGTATTGCTGAGTTATATCTTTAAAGAATATGATGGGTAGCAAAAAAATTAATAATCCCCAAGTAAATTATGGAAAAATCAGTCCAGAATTCTCACTTGAAATACAGATCGCTTGAGAAAACAATAATGCTGAGAAACCATGGAAATAAAGAAGAAGAGAATTGCTTGATAATGAAAGGGGAAGCATATAAATTTAATAAATAAATAGAGTGGCCAGCAATAAAATGAATAAACTAGATTATAGTGATGGTGAGTATGTCATTGGTTGACCTGAATGTTGGGGACAGATTATCCTGAAGAAGGTTTAGCTAGATGATAGCTAAAAATTGACACCAACTTGAAGGCATATGATCAGTCAATCAATATGATTAAAAATATGGTAAAATATGGTTCTAAAATTCTTAACTTTGTCATTATAGGGTACCGAGTGTAGATTAATAAGAAAAAAATAAATTTGAACAACTGTAGAATCAGGCTGCAGCATAACAATGTGACAAAAGTGAAGGAGTTCTGAATACTTTATGAATGCACTGTATCTCACAAATATAAATGAAAATATATTCTTATAAGCTCTATAGGAAGAGTTTGTTTTGTGACCTAGGAAGCCTGCCTCACTGTGAAAAAAAAATCAATATAGCTCTGAGGCTGATGTTCAAAATGGCACTGAAACATGGCTGCTCCCTCAGGCCTTGGGGAGGTTGATGCCAAGCTCATATACAATTCTATTTGATTAAAGAATGCATTCCTGCAGGCACAAATGATCTATATTTTATTGCTTGCTTGTTTTAAACATTGTAAACCAGAGAGGTGTGTGGAATGGAGTGTCCTCTAAATTGAATGAATATAATGACTAAACAAGAAAAGCCTTCAAATAAAAAATTATTTACTTACATACGTATTTATATTTATTTATTATCGAATTTATATAGCTATCCATCTCACCAAAGGTGACTCTGGATAGGGCATAAGTGCTAAAAGAGCCAATATAAAAACAAATTAAAATCTAAAACACCACACTAATAATTATCAGAAAAATACTAACCGTAGGGGAAGGAAGAAGGATAAAAATGGCTCCTCAGCAATGAATCCCCATTGAGACAAGTTTCTAGTTCTTTGTGGCTCCAGGCCTGGCAGCATAATCAGGTCTTGAGGGTCTTTCAGAATATCCAAAGGAATTTTTAATGAAAAAGAAAATGCAACCAACCCAGTTTCAAAGCTGGCACTTCACTACATTTATAAAATAAATTATTATCCACTTAATGAAGAAAACATTGAGGTTTTAACAGTAAATACTTTCTACAATCATTATTCTAAAAATAATGCTTACTACTCCTTGAGATCTTATCACCTGAGAGCACAAGCCTCCCTTTTAAGACCTGTGAATGTGAAAGAATTTAGCAACCTCTGTGTCCATCCCATTCTTTTCCTCCTTTAAAAATGGTCACATAGATAAAGAAGAAATATTTCTGGCACCCTCTGACTTCCCTTTTGAATCCCCCCCCCTCCTTCATTCTCACTTGGGGAAGATTTCCATAAGGCAGTGTTTCCCAAACTTGACAATTTTAAGGCATGTGGACTTCAACTCCCAGAATTCCACAGCCAGCAACGCTGGCTGTGGAATTCTGGGAGTTGAAGTCCATATGCCTTAAAATTGTCAAGTTTGGGAAACACTGCCATAAGTTATGGTATGAAAGTCCTATGAGACAGAGGAGAGCTCTGTTTCTTTGCTTTGTTCAGAGAGTACCCAAATATTGTAGAATCAACTTGCATTTTGACTCCCTACTGTTTTCCTTTCCATTTTCTGGACATCCAGATGACCCGCTCACTGTCTTTTTCATACATGCAGGCAGTGTGATGGGTGGAACTGGGTCATGTATCTGCCTCTGGCTATCACCATCATGCCTTTTCCTTCAGAGGGAGCATTTAAGCTTGCTTAGGGACTGGTGAAAAGCTTAACTAAAACAGATCAGTTTCCATGGTCACACAGGGAAGAGCTACTGTGTGGTGTTAGAATACAGCAATTCCAAATTCTTTCCAATAGGAATAATAGTAATAATGGAGGAGAAGGATTTATTTCCTAGTATCTGCAATCTTATAGATAATTTCTGCATTTACTGTTTAAAATGTCCCAAAGCCTTTTTTAAACAGAATTCTGGCATTAGAAGGAAGAGGGGAGGCACTATTCAGTGCAGTGAACATTTTTTTTTTTTACCAAATGCCCAGTATTTGGGATTATAGGTTATTGTATTTAACATGTGTTGGTTGATGTCACAGTTTTCTAATGCTACCTGCTCCAATCATGTTTTTTTGTTCTTTGTCTGGAAGGGACTAGCACATGTGTATGTCTGTACTTCTTTACACAAGAATCTTCAAGCCTGGTTCCTATAGCTTTGTATGGTATAAGTATGATAGGAATAGAGAGAGTCAGTTAGTTGTAGTGTTTAAGGACCAGAGGAGAAACCAGTTTAAGGATCAAAGGAGACTGTGAATTTTTGTTTTGGCTTAAATGCAAAGCCAGCTGGACCAACTCTGGACCAGTCACACACTCTCAGCCCTAGGAAGAAGGCAATGGCAAATACTTCCAAAACCTTGTAAGAAAATTGAAGAGACTTCTCCAGCAAGTCACCAAAAGTCAGTACTGACTCAAATATGTCCCCCGTTCCAGAGAAAGCAAGGAGGGGTATAGTTGGGAAAACATCATCCAAGTCCCACTTGTATCAAGAGTGTAGGCTTGTTCTTTTGTCTTATGTACAAGCTACCTTAAGGATTTTAGAAGAAATGAATTTTTGGGGGGAAACCTGCCTTTTAGAGTTAATCATTGCATCTGGTTTTTTTTAATCTATACCTAACTTTGGACTATTAATTGTAGCTACATTTCAATAAGAAGAATTTATCCTGAGTACTGGTAATGTTTTAGATTCACCTGCCTAGTTTATTTGAACAATTTCAGGTTTGTTTTTTTTGTTATATACACACTACAATGTGTTCATTATACATACACTAGGGTGCTCATTTATTATATATACACTAGGGTACTTGAAAGCTTTAGAGTGAGGTCACAAGGCTAATTCACAAAAAGAGGAAACTTTGGTTGTTATATTTTAAACAAGATGGTAAATTGTTTAGCACTTTCTCATTAATGTTTCACTCCGATCCTGATGCATCAGGGAGAATACAGGTTGGGAACTATAGATGTTCACTATTACCTATTAACCTGGTGTATTTTACATCATTTGAATGTGTTCCATTCTTTCCATATAATGAATTCCACAGGGCTTTAAGAAGAAGTAGATGGGAATTGCATATATGAAATGAAAGCATTCTAAAGAACTGTCCTTGTTTTTCAGGATCAATTGGACTGTGCACAAACATGGAAGGGGATTGTTTGAGCTGCATGAAATATCTGATGTTTGTCTTCAATTTCTTCATATTTGTAAGTTTTCTTTGATTTGTCACATGTGATCTTGTTCAGATGTCTCCTTAGGAGTTGGTTATACTTTGGTAAAGGTACTACAGTGCAGAAGACCCCCTTAAATTTCATAGGTAGCAACATTTTGAGACAAGCAATTTGCTTTTTATCAGAAGCAGCCAGAATATTTTACTACACTTTGGAATTTGAAATTACTGATGAGGCAGAGGCTGCCCTTGAAAAGAGGGGGTTCATAAAAGGCCCATGGATGGACTGTAGCTGAGAGAGAGAGAGAGAGAGAGAGAGAGAGAGAGAGAGAGAGAGAGAGAGAGAGAGAGAGCGCACTCAGCTTCTCTTCTGGCAGTATCTCTGTTCCTGAAAAAGCCATCTGAATATAATATATATCGCCTGTGTATGCAGATAATTCATTGTAGCTGAAGTATTTAGGAAAAGTGATCCCACTGAAATCTGTTGCAGTTTAACATAAGCTGCATTCATAAATCATGATAAGCCTTAATGCAACTTGTTTTAATGCAACTTGATTTTCTTAGCTGCCCTACTGAATCCAGCAATGATTGCTTGTAAGCATGACTTAACCAATCCATTTTGTGATTTATTGAACAAACCATAGTTAAATAAAATGATAGCTTATTGCAATATTTAAACATAGAATAAGGAACACCTATATACTGTAATTAAGAGACATCTAGCAGTCCTACCAAGTTTTTTTTTTAATTTTCCAAATGAAAAGTTTTGCAAAGATGAGGACTGAGCATATTAAGTTGACGATACTAATTCCTTTCTTGAATGCTTGCATGTATTCCTTTCCTTTAAAATGATGGCCTCATGTTAAAGAAACTCATTTTTAAATTAATATTGTGATTATTTACAATTGAAAGCAGCCCCCCTTTTAAGGATTTCAATTATTCACTATAAGTATTTCATAGTTTCTTTCAATTGTATGTATTCTTGAAATTTTTGGAAAATGCCTTTTCAGACCAGGCTATCCGTTTGGGGCTGCCAAAAATGGATGGCCATTAGATGTTAACAAATTAGATGTTAACTATTAGATGTTAACAAAGTAATACAGAAAAAAACCCTGCTATCTTACAGTCATCCAGATTTTAGCAGCTCAGGTATGGTGTCTCTATTCTCTGAACATAATAAACTGTGCCATAAGGTTCTGGCCTGCATTGCAACAATTACAATTCAACTTTTAACTTGAATTGTGCTGTCTATAGGAACCTGTCCAAGAAAATAGTTTTAATTTGAATCTTCCCTTTTTATGACAGCTAGGTGGTACCTGTATCCTGGGAGTTGGAATCTGGGTCATAGTTGATCCCACAGGATTTCGAGAGATTGTGGCTACCAACCCTTTGCTCTTTACTGGAGCATATATCATGGTGGCTATGGGAACTATGCTCTTCTTGCTGGGATTCCTTGGTTGCTGTGGAGCGATCCGTGAGAACAAATGTCTTCTCCTTTTTGTAAGTACAACTGAATGGATTTCTTTTCCTAGTGTACCTACCTGTGTTGTTTTAACCAAAGTCCAGAAAATAATATAAATTACTACAATTTATTTTATTTTAAATTTCACATTTTTGAACCACTCATCTCCCTCAGAGAGGGGCTCTTTTTTTTGTTACTCCTATTATGCCATTTAATTTTAAGCCTTTTTCATCCCAAATGAAAATAATCTAAATTATTTTCCTTTGGGATGAAAAAAGGAATATAAAAAGAAAAGTATATGTTGCCATATGGAATATTTCTGAAACTTGGTTCAAAATAAATCAGGATTGATAAATCACAATTTAAACAGCTGTCGTCTCCATGAGTGCAGATATAACGAAAGCTTGGCTTATTTCAATTTATTTTAATATCATGCTTTTTATTTTAAATTCATGCAATAGTCAAATTTCTTTGAATAATTTGCAGAGTTATTTAAAATGTTTAAACTAGGAAAAAGAATAGTTAAGCTGGGGAAAACAATTAAGTGTATTTATAAATATCAAGTATATCTTTTCAATCTCATATTATCAACTCATAAATGGAAGAGAAAGGAGTTGAAGATCATTCACAAAATATGAGTCAATAGTTTCCTCTAACACCTGAACAAGAACTTTCACAAAAGTCCAGCAAACCAGATCTTATCTATATAGCCAGTTGTATTTTCATTTCCATCTTTGATTCACTCATCCTAATTTGTAACCTGACATCAGTATTACTTTTCTTGGAAGAAAACTTGTGTTTTATCATTGGCCCTGTAGCTAAAGAATAAAGAGATGCTTTGTCAACTTAAGAGTTTTGAGGAAGAAAAACTCCCAGGAGGCCGTAATTATGTCCCAGACTTCCAGTGTTGCTTAACTCACAAAGGGTCTCTATGGATTCAATCTTTGTGAGGGGTTGGATGCATCCATATCTCAACCAACTTGATCAAAAAGATCTGAGTTTCACAATCAGGTTTAATAAGTAGACCCTTGACACATTCCAAGAAATTATGTGACAGAAGAAAAAAAATATCAAATTGATTCTATTTTTGAATTTTGATTTGCTCATTGCCTGCAAAGACAAATCATTTGGAGCATTAGATAGCATACACAAAAATTGTGCCACCATTCACCAGTTTCCATATTTTATTTTCTTGTGGCTCAGGCTGAAAGTGATCCAAGTTTTCTGAGAATGAGGCAATTATCTCCTCACGATCCCTGTGACTACAGATAGTCCTCCACTTACGATTCCCGATTCTAGGAACACACGGACTGATGCAGGACAGCTAGAAACAATACGGCCAATTAGGGCGGGTAGACCAATAACTCACTCCATGAGCAGAGTGCAAAAACAGCCACACTGCACACTGACAATTTGGCAAAGGCAAGATACCATGTTATTTTATACTACATGAACTGCATGCTCCCCCACCCAAAAAGTTGAGTATTCATGTAAAAACTGACTTTTTCATTCATTTGGCTATTCATGCCTAGTTTCATCTTAGATATGCAGGGTGGGAAAAGTGCTATATATCAGTGTTTGTCAAGAGCGTGCAAAATAGCATTTTCTTCCAGGAAAAAAAAAAAAACGGTATTGTAACAAAGAACTGAAGCTGGGAAATGATTAAGTGTGGGGGTCATGAAAAAAAAATGACTTGGCAGAGAGTTTGAGTGGAATCATTGTTATCTATATCTTAATTAGGGGAAAGGTGTTATTTTCATGGACTAATTAAAATCCAGGTCCTCCTACAAAGTTTTCAAATATAGATGAATCAGAGGCTTCCCAGGAGAGATTTCTGTGATACATAATAAATGCCTGAAGCTTTCAAGTCAAATATAAATTCAAGGAAAGTGTACAGCACAGTTGAGAGATGAGAGAAACATGCATCCCCAAGGGAAGTTCTTAAATTTCTTTTAGTATAGAGATTATTTCTCACGTTATGTTTTTATAAAAAAATGTTGCAGTTGAATGAAATATCTTGTACTTCATAGACCCTAAAGCTTTTCTAGCAGTTGGACTCGTTTAAAAAAAAATAAACTGCAAGGGTTCCTGGAAAAAAAATAAGTCAGCCCATGGAATAACCTAACAATATTTTAAACTGTTTGATAATGCAGTGCATTCCACTCTGTCTATGAGTTTTTCAAATCTACAAAACAATTTCATACAATAAGTAAGAAATAAAAAAGCAACTAATGCTGTTTGCTCCATCTCATATTTAAGACAGTTTTATTTTTCATATACAAGTGTAAACATGCACCTAAAAAAATACTTAGATAATTAGACAAAAAATATGTGTCGGAAAATATGTATATCAAAAGTTCAATGATGGAACATCCACAATTAATCATAAAAATGTGGGAACAATTTCTTGAACATTCAACAGATCCAAAGGTGACAGGTGCCCTGACCACAATTTTTCATCTTTGGATTCCGGGTCAGAATAATAAAAACAAGTTCAATTGGACGACTTTGAAGCCTATTTAATTCATCTGAGGGTTGAATCCAAATATTCAGATTCAGATTGATAATCATGGCAAATTCCCAGTTTTACTCTAACAAAGTTAGAGGCAAGTTATTATACAAGGGCCTTTAAAAAAATTGTTAACTGATTTTTGTTTGGAAGGAAAGTTCCTGTAATCCTTTTTTCTAACCTTCCATGGGGATAAAGCCTGCTGTGTATTTCAGACAAATACAAGTCTGCAGGAGCTGAAGTTTTCATCAAAATAACTATTGTGCCATTGCACTTTAAGTTTTACCCTTTTTGAATGTTTGTCTGTTTGTTTTTTTGTTCTATTTATATAGCTGCATTTCATACATGTGATGCTGAGCGGTTCACAGACTTAAAAACAAAAAGCAAACAGTTACTGTATAACAACCAAAATTAAAACTATTTTTAAAAAAACCATTAAAACAGATAGAATTTAACCTGTGAGTGTGTACAATCCATAAAATGACCATACAAGCAGCTAATAGGCCCCAGACCACCACTGTATCCTCAACCACAATGGCAAAGCCACGTCTTCAGGTCCTTCCAAAAGGCCAGCAGGGTCATGAGCAGTTTAACCTTGGGGGAATGATGTTCCAAAGGGCAGATGCTGTGGCAGGAAAGCCTTTTCTCCTGGGTGCTATCAGATGACATTTCTTAGTAGAAGGACCCGCAACATGCTCTTCTGCCAGTCCTAATGGAACAAATAGATGTAACCAAGGAGAGGTAGTTCCCTGAAATAACCTGTCCCCATACCGTGCACAGCTTTATAGGACATTACCAGCATCTTGAACCTTGCAACATCACCAAGCATTATAAAAGACATTGGACTTAGTTTGCAGTGCAATTTTATTTGGTATGACTCCTCCAATTGACACTTCTGATTTCTATAATCTCCCTCTCTCATTCGACATGCAGGAATTAAACAAAGGTGCCACCTAAAATGTTGTAGTTTCGTACCTAAGCCACTTTGCAGCCTTTTGTGAGGTGGGAGATGTTCCCTTTCCATACCATGTACAAAATAGGCTGGCCTAGTTTTTAATTTTAATTTTAGTTTGATCAGCAGCAAGAGACCCTATGCATGGCACACAGCAATTTAAACTTTAGCATCTTTTTGTAGGTTCCCCCCCCCCCCACAATGTTCCTAGAAAGGGAACAAATTTTCTGATAGACTTTCGGCAAAAAAAAAAACCACTTACTATTTAACACTTAATTCCCCCCCTCCTTTATTGTAATGCCTGTTCTCTTTTTTATGTTTCTTTTTTCAGGTTTCATTATGAGCCTGAAAAAAAAGTAATATTGCTGCTGTAATGAGTCAAACCATTAAAGCCCCACATCTTTATGTGACCCTTAAAGCAGTGGAGAAACCTGACCTCTGAAAGCTGGATTGGCTGTGGAATTTTGGGTGTTGCAGTCCCAGCAGGCACCAGATACTTACAAAAGGCTGGCACATGTTTGCCAAATAATGATATGTGATGAGTTGTCAGATGGCCCAGAAGTATTGTTGGTTAAGGACTTCATAAATCCAAGTGATTGGTCATAATGGCAATGGAATTACCGGTTATGAACAATGAAGTACATGCCAAGTAAAAAGTAGCATATATCTCAGATAATCAACAGCTTTAATAGTGCATCAAACAATCCCCCCAATTCTGGGGATTTGACATTTTCTACTAATTTTCTTAAGCTAAATATTTAGCAAATTTGTTCCACTCTAGCTGTCAATTTCTAAATGTTGCTTTAGTCAGTTTGACCTATTCTTTCTATTATTTTATTAAACGTTGAGTCAGATGTTCACTCTAGATAAACAGTAATGTGTGTTTCTTATTCTTTTCTCTCTCTCTTTCAGTTCTTCATGTTTATTTTGCTAATCTTCCTGGCAGAACTCTCGGCTGCAATCTTGGCATTTATCTTTAGAGAAAATGTGAGTATGATGATAATGGAATGTTGTTTAGGAATCTGCAGAATTATATTCAGTTGGACTTCTACTTTATAAATTTGCTGAGCAGTCCTTTGTTCAGGATGCTAAATTATTTCCATTTAGTCTAAGCAACTTGAAACCACCCACTGAAAGTAAACAAACACAGCTTGGGACATGCATTGATGCTTTATTGGTAGAAGACAGAGCCTGCTTTTCAGGAAAAGTTCAACTTTAAAATTGAATTAGCTTTATTTTGAGAATTTAGGGATTAAACTAGCGGTTTGAGATTTTAAGAGTGCAAATCTATGATCTCTGGGAGAGCATTACAAGGGCCATATGATAAGTTGGACTTTCCCAACTGAATGCAGAGAGATTCCCATCTTGGAAATGGACACTAGTGTCCTTAGATGGACTCTCTGTAGATCTGGGAGAACTGCTGAGATTGTTGCTTCTCTAGCAGAGGTGTGAGATTGGTAGAGTCCAAATTTCCAGATAGTTTCCTGACATTAGTAAAACAAACGAACAAACAAAAACCCCACAGCATATCAATCCTGAAGCCAAGTGGGCACAGTCTCACTGAGAGAGATTTTAGCAATGAAAGAAAAAAGAAAACAGTGCATTTGTATGCGATGTTAGTAATTATGAAAAAGGCATATATTTGAAAAATGTAAATGAATGAATGAGTAAAATGCAATCCTTTCCTCTTGTCATTACAAATCTAGCAGAGCTTTATATTGGATGATTCCTCTGCTTGGGCTCATTTCATCATTGTATTTGCTCTAAGAAATAATTGGATGCAGAAAAAATTACATGTTTATCCCACCCATTCCAAACTTCTTTTGATAGTGTGTGACAGATTAAATACATAAAATCAGCTTATTTTGCTCTGTAATGTTTATCTGTCCACTAGTCCCATGGCAAATGTTGTTGGACAAAAAAGATGTCAAGTTTATGGTGGCGGGGGGGGGGAGGAGATTGAAATTGTTGGGTTTTTTTTCTTTATCATTATTGAGTAGAATTATAAGTAAGAATAGAAACAGTATCTACTCTCATGAAATAAAAGGAAACAATGAATTCAGTCTGCTATTTCTGTGGTTTTCCCTTTTTTAAATTCTCAGTTACCCAAATGACTTTGTGGTATTAAATAAATAGGAAAAAGATAACTTGCATAATAGAATATTTGATGGGATTTTAAAAAAATTGAGACTGTGAGTGTGAGAATCAGTGGGAAAGAAAAGAACTAAGAGATATGGCCAAATAATCTGTGGCTTATTTCTCAAGATTAAGACAGTGGTGGATATTCATTTAAACTATATTCTCTACTTGGCTTTTAGCTACTGGTCCTGTAGGAAAAAGGTCCCAACTGAATATTTGTCTTAGCTTTTTCTATGTTGCAAAACCACTTTAGGAGACCTGTGTCTGACCTGGTGCTTTTATTGTTTTTCTTCCTCATCTACTATGGCAGCTGGATTTGCAGCAATATATTTATCCAATTTTCTATTAAGCATTGTATCGATTTTGGTTTTTCCTGGGACAAATATACTATAGACTTTTATTAGTTGGGTAATTGACCATGTTTCAAAAAACAGTCCACTACATTTAAATGACTAAACATTTGCAAATAGCAGGGGTGGAAAAAAAGTAAAGTAGGCAAGAGCAAACTAAGGGAGAATATCTCACAAGAGAATAGGTAAAACAAAGCTCATGGGTAGCAGAACTAAGATCATGGTAAGCAGAATATATTAGTACTATACCACAAATTATTCTCCTTATAGGGCAGAATAGAGGAGAGAACATGATTCTGTTTTCTAGCCCTATTCTACTGCCACTGAGACTAGCCATGCTAATTAACCACTCTGTTATTTCCAGGGGCTTTGTGAGTTCTGAGATTACTAAACTGTTTGCTTCTTTCCCTCCCTTTGTAGTTCATCTCTTTTCCTCTATCTCTTGTCTCTTGCCTGGCCTATATCCTGTTTTTGCTAATGTTGATGTTTATTATTATGTCACCAAAGCATTAATTGCTAACTGAGTTGGCATGCATGCTGGTCAGATCTGGCTGCAGGAATTGACAGGAAATGTGCTGGATGCAAAAATAAAACTGGAAATTACTCTTATTCCTGTAGAAGAATTTTACATAGATTTTATTGTCCCAATGAAACCCCATTTCCAAATTTTAATAGAGGTCTTAAAGAAAGATGTGAAAAGTGCAGAACAAATATCATAACAGCCATATCTTTCCAAAGATTAAAAGCACAGAAGGCCTATTTTGATGGTCCCATAGTTGAAAAAGAAGGAAAAGACCAATGCTTTGTAAACAGTTTAAAGGCTTTCTCTTTCTGAACAATGGAGACAAAGAGAGAAACAAGACTGCAGTGACAGTGACTGCTCTATAAATAACTATCACTTCCTGAGCAAATCTGCTATGGTCAATCCAGTCTCTATTTTCTGACATTAGTGACATTCCTTCAGGAGACACAAGTGGGAGACCTCACAGCAAGAAAAAACCACACATGTAATCTGTCAAATTATATCTTTGAATATGACCAACCAGATACATGCACAGATAGCCACACATGCGCACAAATCAGTGGAGAAGGGCAGAGTTGAGGGATGCATTCCTGTGGTAGCAGGAATTGGTAGCAGTCAAATTCAGAGAAAGCAGTTCTGAATTTGTTGCAAAATATGGACAGGAGCACCAACCCAGCCAAACAAATAATAAAATCAAGATCACCTTTGATGGTAGCAAGTAGATCTGCCCTTTATTACAGGATAAATATATGTAGTTATATGCGTGGGGTTGGGCAAAGCATCTGGTTCAAGAATCCTAGCAGCTGCAGATTGCATTTCAAAGAAAGGTCTAGTTCTGAGGTAGGCTCTTTTATGAGTCGTGGACTTCAACTCCCAGAATTCCTGAGCCAGCCATGCTCAGTCCACGAGTCATAAAAGAGCCAAGGTTGCCTACCCCTGGCCTAGTTGGTTTGAGTACTTTAACAAGCCAAGGTATAAGTGGGGTAGCCAAGGAAACATTTTCAAATGCTTTGTAGATTTCATAGTTGTGATTAGGCAGAGGAACATTAAGTCTTAAGAAAATAAAAAGAACATAAAAGAGGATATTAAAATGATTGCAGAGTGAATCCTCTAGGGAATGAATCATCAACGTAGCAAAAATGCTTGGCAGCCAAGATGATTTGCTTTCCATTGATGGGAGAATTTGATGAAGGGGATTTGAAAATAGTTCTGCCATTTGGTAGGTTGATGTGGAAGCAAATCTTATTCTACCACTTACAATCCACTTTGTACACAGTTGAATAGGAACTTTAATTTATCAGATTACTATAATGGCGTGACACAGCTTTCCCCATATGATCATTCAATTATTATTTTTAATGGAAAATTTTAAGAGTGATACTCCAACATACAGTATTTTTCAGGTTGAAAAACTGCTGATATTTTAAATGTATATATTCACTATAATTATATATAATTGAACAAATGAAATGGCCGTAACACTCCTCATTAATGTATCTTTCAAAGCAACCCACTTAAGAGCAATTGAGACTGACTGCTCGTGACTTTTCCAGGCAATAGTATAAAAGTAGTTTGTCCTTGTCTTCTTCTGGAATGTCTGGTTAAAGGTCAAGTGGTGTCTAAAGCACATCCTAAAAATGGTGATCTCCATCAGTGGAACTGAAAATGCCACTTCACAAGAGAGAAACGAATGCAATGTCTGCTTATATCTTCAAACCAAATATTTAAAGTTTAGTGATTCACCATGCCAAAGGAAAAAAACCTTCCTTAACAATACAGGTTAAAGTTGAACATGGTGGATAAGGACAATTACTAAACAAAGCCCAAAAAACTCAAGTGTGGCAATGAAAACAGTTAAGGGCAGGATAATTTGGAGAAAAAAAACTCTGTGGTGTTCCTCTTCCCTTGGTGCTTATTATGCTTAATGATTAATCCAGTTTTAGCTTAACTGAATATATGAGGGTAGATCTGGAATTTTTAAATCCAGATCTGGAATTTAATAGACCCATGATTTTCTAGCCCAAATACTAGATGAGATGACCTTTCATATTCATTTGGAATGGGTTACTTCAGTTTTTACCAACTATTATGCTTGATTTCTTTTTAAATAAAAAGTTATTTTGAAATAACCAAAAATAAATAGCAGTCTAATGCCTGTTTACAAAACTCACAGTAATTAGCAACTCTTTAGTTTTTGACACAAAAGATGGGTAAATTAAGGCAGAAGCTTATATTCGTGCAAAGAAAGGGGTGTAATGTCCCCTTTACATTGTTAGTTCAGTTCAGAATAGTATGAATATATTGTAGTCCTGTGTCAGAGCACTTACCCACAGAATCTGGAACAACCAAGAATGGTAACTATACTGATAATATTTTGGAGCACAATGCCTGGTTAAATTGAATGGAGGTGAGATGATTGGAGTGATCAGCTCCTAATTAGCATTTCAATATCCTGTATCCTATAAACCATTTCCTTGGATTATGGTCAAAGCCAGCCTCTTATGATATTGTAAAGGATGATAGGTACAGCTCTTGGGTACCTCCAAATATTCAACTTTAATTATTTTTTATTGGCCAAAATCTCACAATATAGAATCTCTATGTTCTCATAGGGTGTGTGCATATAGTTTGGGGCTATTCCTGTTTGATTTTTTTAAAATAATCATATTTTCCTGTGAAAGTATATAAAATTTTAGAGTGAATTGGAATAATTATCCAGGAGGAGGGAGACAAACTCATTCACCCTGTCTAAAGTAGCCACACTAAAATATGTTGGTAGCCATAGAAAAAGGAAAGATAATTAATTGTACTTTGAAATAATAGATCTGCTTTAAAGAACATTAAAATACTCAGATAAGTAGAAAAATTATTTTTTTAATACTGCACTGTTTTTTTGTTGATGCACTTTCACAGCCTGCTCTTAATGGCTTCCCAGCTTGTCTTGTGTTATTATGGTTAATGCTGCTCTCTACACA